AGGATGCTCGGGACTCTGCCATATTGAGAATACAGCTTCTGACTGTGCAAAAATAATTTCTCAGTTTTTATCCCTAGAGGCCAGATACTCACTTCAAACATGCCATCTGACTTTTCAGACCTATGCATTCAAATAAACTTCTTATTTAAGAGTCGTTATGTCACACTACACTAACTTAAGAGATACACTTATGACTAAGGGGAGGAAATGCTACCTCCTTTTTAGTGAGTCCTGCCCCTAAGGGGATTGTCCTGGGAACCCTGAACACGATCTCAACTGAACTGCAGGTAGCCCCACTTTTCTAGTAGAAAGCACCTCTTCTGCCCATCGCTGTGTATCCAGCCAGGGAAGGGTCCCTGCTTCCTAAATCCTTAGTGCTACTTCAGTGCACTGCACTGCTTTCCAGCTTCCTCTGAAAGTCCTGTGTCTGGCAGTCCCAGCCAGGTCCTCTGGTGGGCTTAGTGTGACCTCAGGGCTTCTGCGTGTCTGGCTATCAGAGCCTGGCCAACACATTGTTAAGTACCCACGGTGATGGTGGCCTTCTGATTTCTGCATTTTACTTTCACACCTGTTCTGCACACATCTGTTTGACCAGCCTCCCATCAAGTCCCCTGGGGCGCTTTTTACAAATACGTGGTGCTAAATGGTGCACCCCCACACCGTATGGCAACAGTACCCTCTGTGAATCTATTTAGGCTTACCAAGGACTCAGTAAATAGTTAACCAAGTGATTACCTGTGTTGTCAATCTAGACTCTTTCTTTTTTCAGTGTATCTTAACTTCAAGCTCCATGATGGTGGCAAAACAATTGAAACAGCCTTTTTTTAGTTGTTAGTTTATATGTTTTTTAATTCGCTGTACTCTACTTGGCACTATACTAACACTTGATTTGTATTTTATTACTTGCAGCCTTCTGATGCCTTAATTTTGGGGAAGATAAAGAATGTTGATTGTGTCCTCCTTGCAAGGTAAAGGATCTTGAGAGGGTTTTTTTTGTTTGTTTTTTAAGATTTATTGATTTATTCGTACAGAACTGGGGTACAAGCCAGAGATGCGGAGGGTGAGAGGATTCACCAGAGACAGCGAGGAGCAGAACAGGCTGACTGATGAAGTACACTGCTGAGGGGAGCAGCGGGCGGGTCAGGAGAGGTCTGCCACGCCATGTGGTCACCTCCGGGGCAGGCGGGGATCGAACTCACGCAGAAGTGGCTTTAGCTTCTTTGTGCTGTGCTTTAACCTGCTGCGCCACCAGGGAGGGCCAGGATCTTGAGTTTTTTTTAACGTCACCTCCAAAGGAGAATTAAGTTCTGGAGAAAGAAATGTTGCTGGTGTGAGTTTTTTGTGTGTGTATTTGTGGAACCAGACCATTGCCGTCACCTCTGTGACCACTGGTGTTGGGGTGAGTTGTATTGATTTCGGAGATCGATTATCTATCCACCCCCCGGCCCCCCGAGGTTGAGAACGTGGTTCAACCAAGTAATAGCTTTAGGTTTATAAAGTGTTTAGTATTGGGGTCCTGACGTGGGTCTCCCCTGTGGTGTCCTTGACAATCAGACAATGAAATATATTCATTTCTTTGGCTGATGAGCAAATGATAGCAATCCCCTTATTTATGGTTTCATCTTCTGCCATTTTAGTTAACCCTTGTCAACTGAAAATATTACCTGTAATAAGATAACTTGAGGGGGACTCACCTTCACATAGCTTTTATTACAGTATATTATTAAAATCATTCTATTTTGTTGTTGTTGTTAATTGTTAATCTTATTGTGCCTAACTTACAAGTTAAACTTTATCGTAGGTTTGTATGTACAGGAAAAAACAGTTCAGCGCTATTCCGAGTTTGAGAAGCTGCTGGGTGCCTTGCAACGAGATTTCCCTGAATATGAAGGGAAACTACCAGACTACAAACTCAGCAACTCAGGGCCATGCACATTCTCTCAGAATTTCCACACATTAGGAGTGTGCGACTCAGCTGGGTTTTCTGCTTGGTGTCAGCCAACATACATTCAAGGCCTTGTTCTCACCTAGAGCCCCACCCAAGGTCATGGTGGTCCTTGGCAGAATTCAGTTCTTAGTGGTTGTGGAACTGAGGCCTTCAGCTCTCAGTGACTCTCCACATGTGTCCCTGCCAAGTGGGCCTGGCCACAGGTGGTTCCATGACAGGGCTCTTCAGGGCATGCCTGGCCATCTGTAGTGCAGGCTGGCAGAGCCTCACCACGGGGCAACTCCCAGCACCTTTGCCAAATCCTGTGTGTTTGAAGCCAGAGTCTAGTGTCTCCTTGCCCTGGAGAGGGGAATGATACTGCATGAAAGAGGAAACCCCCACCATTCCCCACCCCCACACCTCTATACACACACAGTGCCCACCTGCCAAACTGCGTGTTTCTGTATGGAAGAGGTTTTGCTGAATCCAACAAAACCAGATTTTAGTTTTAGTTAGTCACATGAGGTAGATTTCAGGCAACTTTCATGGACCCATGATGATTGTTATCCACTTAATTGTTCCCTGGCTTTAAGAAAGCTCACGGTGGTGTTGGCCCTTGATGAGGGCTTTATAATCCTACCAGCTGAACTGAACTGTAAGAATTGAGGTGTTAGCAGCTTGGTTCCTTCTGAAGGGAGAGACAAGGAGCTCTTCCAGGCTTTGTCAGCCATGGTCTCCCATACTTTGACTGGTCTTCCCATGTGTATAATTGTCTCGACTTCTTCCTCTTACAAGGTCGCCTGCCATTTTGGATTAGGTCCCACCCTGATGATCTCTTTTTAGAAAGTCCCCACCCTCCAAGTACAGTCACAATTTGATGTGCTAGACATTGGGAGTAAACATGAATTTTGGGGGGGATACCCAGTTCAGCCCATAACAGTGGTCCTCTCCAAGGTGATAGGTGACTGGGCAAAACCTACTAATGTCAGAAAATCTGGAAATTATGATATTTTCAGGGTTTCATTATCTTTTTTGTGGAGTGATCAGGCAGGTGGAAATAGAGCTATTTCTGCTTCATATCTATATTGGCTCTTCTTGTTCTCTATGTCATGGCTCCCATGAGACCTGGGGAGCTGATGTCTCTAATTCTGGGTGTTGGGGCCTCCTGGGGTCGACATGTGCAGCTTCCTAGAGAGCATATTACTACTTACTCTTGGTAGGAAAATACACAGAATGTAAAGCTGATCTTCCCTGTTACTACCTGTTATTACCTGACCTGTTCTCATTCATCATCAGCTAATGAAGGTACTTTGATAAGGGCTAGAAGCTCAGCTCTAAATTCATTCTCTAGCTATCTCGTGGTGCCTGTTCCCTCACCTACCCTATTGGCTGTGCTTCTCCTAGGCACGGGAGGCAGCATACCATCATGCCCTCTAAAGTCAACTACCAGGCCAACATCTGGGCTCTGAAGGAGGAGGGCTGCACACACATCATTGTGACGACGGCCTGTGGCTCCTTGAGGGAAGAGATTCAACCTGGAGACATCATCATTATTGACCAGTTTATCGACAGGTGAGCTCTCGTCTAAACACCTGGGCTCCCATGAGATCACTCCCAGCTTGGAGGGGATGAGTACGATTTTATTGCCCTTAAATACTATTTTGTGTCTTCCCCTATCTCCTGAGTTTGCTTTAACCCAGCAGTTCGCTCTAGAAGTCTGTTCAGACCCAGATTCAAATTCTAGACAAGAATCCTCAAACTTCACTATTAGGAGGCACCTAATATCGACTTGTCTTTTCACCAGGTTATAAATTCAGTCTGTTGGTTCAGGAGTTATGATGGGCGGGGGGTGGGGGGGGTTAATAAAACAGAGCACAAAAACTCCGCATTCAGGATGATCTGGATTTATAAAGTATTATAGATGATACTGGGAATAAAAGTCTGACTTGGGCACTAAGCCTGAGATTAGCTGGTGACTTATATGGTATAACACTACACCGTTGCATTTCTCACATCTCTCTCACATGCAGTAAATGTAGATGTTTCACTAACTGGCTATTGTATAAAAGCAGAACAGAAATTGGACAAGCATTCTCCTGGTTTCATTCTGTCTTGACATTTTTAGATGTGTAATCCTGAGATCTGGTATTGGTGGTTCAAAGTCTGGGGACCTAGCATACATTGCCTGTCCATACAATGTGGGCGTGGGGTGTTAACTACAGGGGGCCCATTCTAAATATCACTTGGTAACTATAAAAGGAGGCCTGTTTAGAGATGTGTTCCTTGATTCCTCGTGAACGGTTGTTTAGAAGATCTCAGATTTCATATTTATTCCATATTACGGTAGCAGTTTGGTAAATAGGTCAGAAGAGAGATGAACCTCCTTTTATCTTATTCTCTTACTTTTTTTAAGATTTAGTTATGCATTCAAGAGCTGGGGTACAGGCCAAAGCTATGGTGGGTGAGAGGATTCACCAGAGACAGTGGGAAATAGAGCAGGCAGATTCACTGCAATACACTGCTGCAGGGTGAGACAGGAGAGGTCTGCTGTGCCACGTGGGACACCTCCCTGGCTGAGTATCGAACTCCTGCTGCAGTGGCTGTGATAGCTTCATAGTACTGCGCTTTAACCCACTGCACCACCAAGGAGGGCCCTGGACAATATCTTCTTTGTGATATTGAACCTGTGGTTCCCAGCTAACCAAGCTCGGACACGTACATGAATCACCATGATTGTGTTTGAATGTCTCGTAGAAGAAAATCAGAACTTTTCACCTTATGAGTAATGCTCTCATTGAATGATAGCACATTTTTGAACAGAATAAATCTTGGTGTGTTGAGGCAAGTGCCTGTTGGCTCTGTGGATCAGGCACAGAGGCAGGTTAGAGGCATACTGTTGCAGCCTAAGGTTCCCTCAGCTGTACCCACTGCTTTTGACAACATTGCAGTGTTTTGCAAAGCCAGCTGGATTAAACTCCTGGAGCTGGAGCACTGAACAGGATGGTTTTATCTTGGCTCCACTTGGCATATCGTTTCTACCCCGTGGGCCTCTTCATAATCAAGGCTTGAACTCTGGCTCCCCTCAGCCTTCTCTTCTGCACATCCACCACCGATCGGGGGCAGACACACAGTTGCCTGTTGCCATAACTTCGCTAGTACCTCCTTTTAGCCTAAAGTGGACCCCAGAGGCTCTCTCATGGTAGAAGTATTGGAGCAGAATCGCGAGGCTGTTCTCATGAAGTAGATGGCAGAACTGAAGAATGTCATCTTCTGCCCTTGATGTCCAACATCTAGAGGAATCCCCCATCCCATATGTCAGCCCTGCTGTGCATCATTAAAAGCCGTTGCAGTTTTAGAGTGACAGCTGGCTTTCATCTAGCAGTGGATGTCCTAAAATGGGAACATTTCGGAGGTTAGCTTGGTCTTATGTGAGAGAAATAGGCAGCTCTTGCTTTTATGGTTGTCTTTAATAACATTACATTTCTGCTCTAAAACTGAAATAGGCCTTTGAAGGAATCTCACAGTTCATCATATTGCTCATATTAACAGGAACAACTGGTTCTGTAACTGAAAAGATGTGCATATAGTATTTGGATTTATCTTTTTAAAGATACAGAGAAGTATGAGCTCTTAAACTGCTGCTCATAAAATCAGAACTCTCTCAAAGTGAAGCTAGCTAATATCAATCAGGGGAGCAAAAATGAATTTGTTTTAATAGAGGCTTCTATCAGGGCTATTTTGCAGATAAGTGTTGTTGGCTTTTGTACAATAAGGGGGGGAAATGGGAAAAAAAAAAAACCCAGGGCATAATTCCGAATGCCAGGTGTTTTCTGCAAAAACATGTTGGCCTGTAATGCCTGAGGCCCTGGTTAGGTACTCCTGGAAGAATGCAGTAGGAGAAGGCCCAGCTTGAAAGTGACACATCCAAAATTGTGTCCAGGCCTGGCCCCCTAAATTCCTTTGTCACTAAGTGTCCTCCTCTGCTATGTGAGGGTATGTTGGCCTCCAAAGATTACTTTCTCCATAGAATGGAAAAGTCTAGAGTAGGCTCAGGCTGCTGGTGATCTTACTCATCAGGAAAGTCCCCAGCTAAATATAATGCCAAGGGCTTATGTCAGACCATTCGCCATGTCTGGGCTTTCCCCACCATGTCAATAGTGGTAAGTTTTCCCCTTCCCCATATTGCCCCTGCCTGTCGGACACTATCAATTATTAATTGTGGAAGTGGACGTTCATGACACAGGAAGCTTTTGCTTAATTCACATTCTGGTGAGCAGCTATTTTAAAACCCTGACCATTTTGTTTCCTGCCCATTTCTTTCACTCCTAGTTGGGAACGTGGCATCTTTACAACAAAGCAGATGCCAGTGGGCATAAGAAGCTCACAATCTTCCCACATCGCCCCTCTTACCACTTAGTTCTGTTCCTGTTCTGTGTCACCTTCCTGCTCAGAGCCATCCTAGAAATGGGGGGCAGCTGACCTGGGGAGAGCTCATGTCTTTATTCTTGTGTTCTGCATCATGACCTACTGTTTAGAACAGTAAGTTGTTCCCTCCTTACCGACATTAAAAATGCTGATCAGGGCCCTCCCTGGTGGCGCAGCGGGTTAAAGCACAGCTCTAAGAAGCTAAAGCCACTTCAGCATGAGTTCGCCCCCCCCCCCCCGCCCTGGAGGTGACCCACATGGCACAGCAGACCTCTCCTGACCCGCCCGCTCCCCTCAGCAATGTACTTTGTTGATCTGCCTGTTCTGCTCTCCACTCTGTCTCTGGTGAATCCTCTCATGACCCCCATCACCTCTGGCCTGTACCCCAGTTCTGTATGCATAAATAAATAAATCTTTTTTTAAAATGCTGATCAACCCTCCGACTTCTGAGTTCCTTGTAGGTTTCACACAAAACAGTGAGTCCCACTTACTGTGCACAAGAATGGTTCCACAATAGAGGAGACTTAAACTCAGAAATATTGCTCATTTGCTGGCATGTAGGATCTGTGGCATTTGAATTCGGGCTAGTCTCCAAAGCCTATGATGTCAACCGCCCCTGAGGTCATAAACTTACAGCGATGTCCATCTTCTAATCCCACATCCTCCTTTCTGAGCACCCCATTCTCCACTTGGTAAATTGCTAGGTTGGTAATAGCGTGGTGCTGCCATCCCATCCATGGTCATCGCTGTGAATGCGTCTCCCTCTGTCCAGTAGGAGGGAGCCCTGTCATGCCTTAAATGCACCCTCCCTTCTTGATTACTACTGGCCTCATTCCTGTGGTTCTTAACACACTCTCCAGCTTGACACTCTCAAATCTAGTTTCCATACTTTTCCCTGAAAATACAGCAGAAACTAAGATACAGCCACAGAAATGGTGGGCAGCAAGTGTTCACCACCCTTGGGGCGAGCTTGCCCTAGAATCTAGTCCTGGGGGTGCCACTGAGCTATACCGGTCAATCCCAGCTCAACCCAGACTTTTGAATTGACAGCACTTTACCAGCAGTCTGGGAAAGGGGGTACTCAGTCTATAATGACCTCATTTCTTTCTGCAATTTGATGCAATCTTTTCCAATTCCTTTTTTAAAGATTTTATTTATGCATGCAAGAACTGGGGTACAGGCCAGAGGTGCGGGGTGTGAGAGAATTCATCAGACAGTGGGGAGCAGAACAGACAGATCTACTGAAATATACTGCTGAGGGGAGTGGCGGGCAGGATAGGAGAGATCTGCTGCTCCATGGGGGTCACCTCCCTGGCAGGTATCAAACTCGTGCTGCTGTGGCTGCAGATAACCTCATAGTGCTGCACTTTAACCCATTGCGCCATGGGAGGGGCCCCTGTTCCTAGTTTTTTGTAAAGGAGGATGATCTTTGAATTCTTAAAAACACCACATTGTTTTGGTATTCCTTGGTGATTCCTTCCATTGCTTTTGTGTTCATTTCCCTCCCCAGTGAAATACTGATGTTAGTATTTATTATGTGGTCACATCTGTTGTCCTGAACATGAAGGGAAATGATTCTGAAGTCAATGTTGAGCTCCTCAGCATGGGTCAGTTGCTGTTAGATCCTGGGTAGCTAACACGCCACTGGTGGAGATGGCTAGACCCTTTATAAAGAACAATCTGACACATTCTGAAATGCTTAAAATACAGTATACAAGCCTTGCCAATCATGTGCCTACTGGAATACGGCCCTGAGCACTACTTGAGCAACACCCTGTGTCATGTTGGGAAGCTGTGAACAGGATTTGTTAGAGCTGCACAGGTTGACGATACTCAGCAGAGAGAACAGAACCATGGAGGTGCAGCACCAGTAAATGCTTGCACGATCCTTCCTACATTTCTGGTGGCTGCCAGTGGCCACAGCAGTGGGAGTTATCCCAGTCAGACCTTGCTTTCCCCTTTTATAGGTGAAAAGACTGGGGCCCAGATATTGTGCTCATCACCAGTTGTCAAAGCCCAGATTTTGTTCACGTGACACTGTTTAGCAGAACTTCATGAGAAACCATGAATTACAAAGGAAAACATGACCAGCCTATTGAATCGTGTTGCCTCTTGCAACATAACATCAATTGGTTTTTCCTCCTTTGTGGAAGGAAACTCTGAAATGGAAGCAATGGGAAGATCTTAAAGATATTGTTCAAATTCATCAACTTAATCTGGAGCTGTTGATGTAAGACATCTTTCCTCCTCTCTGCTGTACAGTTTACCATTGATCGACTCTGGGGACAAGGGCACTGAGCGATTTTCCCCTGTATACATGAGGAAAATTCTAATACATATTTTGCATGAAGCCCTCAAAATTACTAGCTACCATGGACCTGAAGTCATCCTGCTAACGTGATGACTAACATGTTTGTGCTTATTTTCTGTGAATTGGACCCCATAACGGTCTTTTATTCTCTTTTGTCTTGATGGTGAGCAGCTGTCTCTAAGCTGGTGGAGGGGAAGGAGAGATGACTGCCAGTATGTGTAATTCTATGGGTTTCCGTTTGACTTTTGTGTGTTTCATTTCTCTAAAAATGTTTCTATGTGATATCAGTCCATCCTCTGCTTTATAGTCATGGCACCCCTATCACCCCTATAGTCCCCTTTATAGTCATGGCACCCCTATCACCCCTATCACAGGAGGTCCATATAAAAGACATAAAAAGGCACTTTTGAATAATCTGGATGGACCCTTCTGTAAAATTGTCTAACGTCAGTTTATTTTCTGGGGCTTCTGCTTCTACATCTTCATCCCTGGTCTGGAAGTGCTTTCTGCCGGAAGCTTGTTAACTCCTCTGTTGCCTCTGGTGAGGGCACCCTTGCACTTCAAACCTGTCTTATTCAGGGTCATCTGTAGCTTTAACCTGTCCCTTTCCTGGCTGAGCAGGAAAGGGACACCTTTGTCCTGTAAATCAGAGAACTTTGTACTCTGATTCCATGACCTGAATCTTCTGGATCTGCCTACAAGTGTGTTTGTGAAGGACCCCACACAAGTATACATCCAAAAAGTTAGATCATTCTTAATTCGTTTGACTCTGTGCATTGCCACAGGCATGAATGTCATTTTGATCTCATCAGTTGGTGGTTGGACCTTAAATTTGTCTTGCCCGAAACCTCCTTCCCACCATTTGTATACTCGGGGCTCAGATTTTTTGGTTTTCTTTTAAATGTATTTGGCCCTCCCTGTAGGCACAGCTGGTTAAAGCGCAGTGGCGCAGTGCTGCAGGCTAACCAGAGCTGCTTCAGTGCGTTCAATTCCTAGCCTCAGAGATGACCCACATGGCGCAGTAGACCTCTCCTGTCTCGCCCACTGCTCCTCTCAGCAGTGTGCTTCATTCATCTGCCTGTTCTACTCTCCACTCTGTCTCTGGTGAATCCTCTCACCGCCCCTGCACCTCTGGCCTATGCCCCAGTTCTGTATGCATAAATAAATAAATGTGTTTGGAGGGCCTCCCTGGTGGTGCAAGGGTTTAAGTCTCAGCACTATCAAGCTATTGCCAGCCACTGCAAACTGAGTTTGACTCCAGACCAGAGAGCTAACAACACAGTTGGTGCAGCAGACCTCTCCTGTCTTTTCCTGCTGCTCCCCTCAGCAGTGCATGTCAGTCAGTTGAGTATTCTGCTCCCTGCTCTGCCTCTGATGAATCCTCACCTTTCCAACACCCACATAACTGGCCTACACCCCAGCTTTTGTATGCCTAAATAAATGAATCTTTAAAAAATTTTAAATACATAAATAGTGTTTGGAGTCCTGATATACACTGAAAGTAAAATGCTGTCCAGCATGCTTATTTGGGTGTTTAAAGATTTTTTAATTTATTTGTACATAAAAGAACTGGTGTGCAAGCCAGAGATGCAGAGTACGAAGATTCACCTGAGACAGAGTGGGGAACAGAACTGGTGATATACTGAAATAAGAACTGCTGAGAGGAGCAGCAGGCGGGACAGGAGAGGTCTGCTGTGCCATGTGGGTCACCTCCCTGGCTGGGCCTCGAAATCGTGCTGCAATGGCTGCTGGTAGCATCACAGTGCTACGCTTTAACCTCATGCACCACCAGGGAGGGCCAAGAAATGATCATATTTGAGCCTACTCGAGCATCTTGGTCTGGAAACAACCTCCATCGATCCTTTTCTGGCTCCCATCCCCACCCACTCCCCATGCCTGAACATGCCAGGGTCCTATTGCTGGCCACCACGAAGATGACTAACATATTCTTTGTGTTCTTAGTCCTTTCTCTGACCGGGTCACATCATTTTGTTTCCTTCACCCTCCCACAGTCAGCGGTGTGTGTGTTTTTGCACTAGCTTTTCTTCTCTTGTATCCCTGTTGGACAATCTCAAGCAGTTTTGAGGTTGATACCCCTGCCTTGGATTAGATTGTTTCATGCTCTCAGGCAGATGAGGAAGTGAAATTGTCTGCTGGGGGGCTTAGTTATATAAGCAACAGCTGGAAAAAGATCTTGTATGTTACTCTATTGGTTTCCTAGAGCACCAGAAATTGTGGTGGCAAAAAAAAAAAAAAAAATGTGGTGGCAAACAGAATACTCTCCTCCAAGATACCCACACCCTAACCCCTAGCCCTAGAATCTGCAAAAATTTTTCCCTTACATGACAAAGAGAAATCAAAGATGCTAATAAGTTGACCTTAAAATAGTCTAGCCTGGGGGCCCTCCCTGGTGGCGCAGCGGGTTAAAGCACTGCACTAAGAAGCTAAAGCCACTTCAGCATGAGTTCGATTCCCGCCTGCCCCGGAGGTGACCACATGGCGCGGCAGACCTCTCCTGACCCGCCCGCTGCTCCCCTCAGCAGTGTACTTCGTTGATCTGCCTGTTCTGCCCCCCACTCTGTCTCTGGTGAATCCTCTCACCCTCCGCATCTCTGGCCTGTACCCCAGTTCTATATGAATAAATAAATAAATATTAAAAAAAATATTCTAGCCTGGATTAACCTGGTGGGGTCAATGCTGCAAATTTAGTGGCTTGGCATAGGTTTTTTTGTTTGATTGTTTTGCTTTTTTTTTTTTTTAAGATTTATTTATGCATACAAAACGGGGTAAAGGCCAGAGGTGCAGGGGGTGAGAGGATTCACCAGAGACAGAGTGGGAGCAGAATATACTGACTGAGGAAGTACACTGCTGAGGGGAGCAGCAGGCGGGTTAGAAGAGGTCTGCCCCGCCATGTGAGCCACCTCTGGGGCGGGGATCCAGCTCATGCTGCAGTGGCTGTAGTAGCTTTGTAGTGCTGTGCTTTATCCCTTTGCACCACCAGGGACAGCCTTTTTAATTCTGCACTTTAGGTATCTAACATGGGTCACACTGGGTGAAAATGGAGATGGCACAAGGCCACATTCCTTCCTGAGTCTCAGGACCATCCCTCCCTTCCTTTCTGCCTCCTTATTCCTTGGTTCTCTGACACCCCCTCCCCGGCCTCTACATCTTGAAGCCAGCAATGACAGCAAGTCCTTTTATTTCCTTACTTGCTGGCATGTGAGTATCTTGGTGATGACATTGAGTCCAGTGAGGTCAATTGGTTAAGCATCTTTGATTCCCCTTTGCCTCATAAGAGAACATTTTTGCGGGTTCTGGGGATTGAGATGGTGGGTAACTTGGAGGAGGATGGGGATTCTGTCTTCCACACACCTCATAGCTGCATGAAATAGAGCCACACCTCAATGTGCCAGTCCTTCCCATTCTTCTCAGCCAGAAGCTGTCACAGCTTTTTCTGTCAGGTTCAGCCAGTCTGACATCATCTGAAGCAGATTTTGTCCATGGGTCAGAAATAGATTTTAGTTGTCTTTCTTGATACAAGAAAGAACACACTCCATGAAGGCCTCTTACCCACTGGGGCTGTAGTTGCTTTAGTTTCTTCCCTCAAGCTGTCTGCCGGTGTGTCTTCCCTTGACCTACTTCACATGCTGCTTCTACTACACCTGCCTCCGTGACTCATGTGATTTCAGTGACCAACTACTGTATGCTAAATGCTGGGTCTGTTTCCTCATTGATTTGTTACCTCATTGATCTTCAAGGCAATCGTAGTAGTGCTTTGCAGAGTTACTACAAATCTTAGCCCCGGATTCACACATTTGATATATAAGGGCAATCATAATTTTGGTTCATCTGATGGAAGTGTGAAATGACAGGTCTGGGATTTGCAACCATGGAAAAGCCAACAGATGAAAGCAAGTATGACAGAATTTTCTAAGTTGTTGGATCTAGGTGAGCCCTGTAACGGGTGTTTGGCATGCAGTCCTCTCCATCTACAGTGACTGGATTGTTTGATGCTAAGTGTTTTACCTGTGCTCCTGAACCCACAGTGAGTGGCACCGAGCCTGCAATGCAGTGTGGTTAACCTGTTGTAGCCACTAGACCACAGACACATTCATTCCTGTTGGAAGGCATGTTGCCACCAACTCAGCCTGCAAAGCTCACATCCTGGAGCTGCTTGCATAACCTATGTCAGCTTATCCAGCGCTGTTGATTCTGGACTGGAGGCCAAGATGTTGACCTCGATAATGGTTAGGTTCACCCACCTCTGGAGGATGGAGAGATAACCTTAAAAAATAAATAAATAAACCTTGGAACAGCTCTCTGGCCCACCTGTGCCTACACAGGTGTTTCTCTTCACCACCTTTCAAGCAGCAGGGGGGCAGCTGGTGTCTGTGTGAGTGTCCTTTTCTCTTCTCTCCCTTGTTATAATAAACCTGCCCTTTGTATATTAAGAAATACAAATCAGTAGAAGCTTTTTGCTTTCTTTTGTAGGACTGCCAAAAGGTCTCAGACCTTCTACGACGGGAGTCACCCTTGTGCCAGAGGCGTGTGTCACATCCCCATGGCTGAGCCCTTCTGCCCCAAAACGAGAGAGGTTTGTCATCCTTCTGAAGATCACACCAAAATAAATCATAAGGCCTTGGGGTGGTGTTGAATTAGATAAATGGGCTAAGTGCATATTTCCTCTTCCCCTCTCAAGTTTGGTCCTTAACACCAGTTTTTATGAAGATAAAGCCTCTTTGATACTCTTTGATAAAGCCTCCTTGTTCTCAGTTATTTGTGAGCTGGCTCAGACATTTATATATATATATACGTTTTTTAATTTTGCTGTCAGGATGCCTTTTAAATAATCTAGTATGGGATTGCACATCTGTCTAGAGTGTAACGCCTAAAACCAGGTTACTAAGATCAATTTTCTGGTCTTAAGCTTAATGACTGTGTGTCACTGGACAAATTACTTAACACTTTGGGGCTTCAGTTTCATCATTTGTAAAATGAATATAATGCTAGCATGTATTCATAGGTGCACATGAGGGTTAGAGTTGATATTGGCAAAGTATTTTGAACAATGCCAGTCAGTTAGAAATATTCAATAACTGGTTATCGCTCTTATGAATTAAGTTACTGTTACTAATAAGTTGTAAATAGCCAGACTGTAACACTTGCCTTTGAGTTAAATTGGCCATTTCTGCCCATTCTCCCCTCTTGAGGATTGGAATGAAATCTCAGAACTAAGGACTCAGCCCTACAAGGGTGGAGGTGAGGAATTGCAGTGAAAGCAGTTTTGAATCACAGTTTTGAAAATCGGTGCAACCATAAAGATCAGAAGTGCTATTGGAAGCAAACTGCCTCAAAAAATTACTTTTAGAAATTAACTTAGTATAAATATCATGTTAATAATTTTAACACCCACAAAAGGAAAGCAGATTTATTTTTCATTTGTATATTCAACCCTGTACAATTTTATAAAGCTGGTTCCCTTTTAGCTAGCAGCAAGTACATCTTGACCTCACTCTGGTCCCAATCAAATATCTTGATTCCAGAGCCAGGGGTAGTAGGGAACCAATTCAGATACACCCATTCAGATGTTGATTCTCTGACTTCTATGAAAGAATTTCTTACTTTTTCACAAATCCAGAAGATTCAAATTTGCATGTATTTATTTGGATGTGTATGTCTGGATAGTTGTTAAAATCTGTCTTACCTCTGAAACAGATCTGTCTGCATAATAAATTTGCTCTCTAGGACCACCCTGGTAGCTCAGGGGTTAAAGTCAGCACAATTAAGATACCTGGAGCCACTGTGGCATGAGTTTGATCACCGGCCAGGGAGCTGACCCACCTGGCTCAGCAGAACTCTCCCGTCTCACCTGCTGCTCCCCACTCTGTCTCTGGTGAAACCTCTCCCACACTTCTGGCCTACACCCGAGGTCTTGTAAGCAAAAATAAAAAATGAATCTTTAGAAAATAGTAATAAGTTTGTGCTCCAGGAGAATCGGATAGGTATAAAATTCTTGTCCATTTAAACATGGACCCAACATGAGGGCAGAATATGCTGGTCAGTACTAAATCTGCAGTCTTTCTCTAGACAGAAAGCAGTAATTTATGGGCTGAGTGGAATAGAGGTGGAAGGGAAAGTACTAATGTGTGAATATGTGTGTATATGTAAATGTGGTAGTGGGGTGAGTCATTATTAACTATCCAAAATGTGTACAGTAAATGGTGCTGCCTCTCAGAAATTATCACTTTAACTTTCAACATTCACATGATTTTTCAGACTGGAGGAGATTGTCAGGTGACTAAGACAAACTCTCAAAAGTCCTGGCACATTAAATATAATTAGTCTGGTGAGCTATATTGCTATTAAGTTTGAGGGGATGGTGGTGGATTCAGGAGTTCATTTTGGTTATGTAGGACAAGAAAATGAGCTCAGCTAAGTCTCAGATCTTGAGCTCCCAGCCTTTATCATGGTGTTACCTCACCCCTGGCAAGTGCAGAAGGCCAGTTGAATTGATACCCTGTGGCCTGTTAACTATGGCTGCTTCCTTCCCCATCACGGCACCCACCTCCCAGAGGTGGGTGATGGTGAGGACTGCACGTTTAACTTGGTGTCGTTCCATGTGGTAGGTGTAGTCAACCCGTCTCAAACCTCTAGAAGTACTGATGTTTGACTAAGACCTGCGACGTGGTTGGATTTTGAAAAAGAAAAGGTGGAAATGGGAGAAGAGTGATTGCTCGGGTCCTTCCTTGAATTTATAATTCATACTCGTTAGGGGGAAGTTTTAATTAAGCGTGATCTTATTTTCACATATACGTATGATGTTATATCAGCTGTTCTTTGAGTATGACATCTCATGGTTCTAAATTTGGAGCTGCCAAAAGAAGCTCTTGTTAACTTTTTCCCTTTGCCATAGATGGGTAGAAGTTTAAGGAAATAAGTTGATTTACTTATCGGATAAGATGTGTACAGGGCAAACTTTAGTCTAGACTAGAGCCTTTTATTGACTTTGAGTCAGTCCATTTTATGGTATCAGCAGGAAACTTTGCCAGTTATTTGACAAACATTTATAGAAGCTGCCAGGATTAATAATCTTAGAAGACAAGTTTGGCATTTATATAGTGTCTACATTGTGCCTGACACAATTCTGTGCTATATATATCTTAGTTCATGTTGTCTTCACAATATATCTGTTATATACTGTTAGTCCCATTTTGTGAAACTAAGATCTATAATGAGAAAACTAGGACTTAGAAAGCTTAAGCAAATTTTCAGCAGTGTTAAGTAGGTTGACAATTTTAAAAGACTTATTTTAGGGTCCTTCCTTGTGGCAAAATGGGTTAAAACGCAGCACTATGAAGCTGTCCACACAGCCACTGTAGCATGAGTTCAATCCCAAGCCAGGAAGTCAGGGAGGTGACCTACATGGCATAACAGACCTCTCCTGTCCTGCCCGCTGCCCCCCTCAGCAGTGTATTTCAGTAGATTCACCTGTTCTGCTCCCCACTCTGTCTCTGGTCAATCCTCTCACCCCTGTACTTCTGGCCTGTAACCCAATTCTTACATGCACAAATATATCTTTAAAAAAAAAAAAGACTTTAGAAAACAATAATAATGAATAACTATATACCAGAGACATTTTACAGGGGTAGAGTGGGGAATGGGATCAAAGGTGAGGGCGGGCAGCCACAGGACTATGGTGATGGCACACGGGTGATTTGGTGATGGGAAGTACACGGGGATTGCAGCTGAGATGGGAAAAGGCACAAAATGATGTAAAAAAAATTTTTTTTTTTACTCCCAAAAGAACTTTAACTCCCCCCCCCCCCCCGCAAGTGTCATTACAAAACACACACATCAATGGTTGAATCTTCTGGAAGAACCTCTATGCAGTTTATGTTCTAAATATTTTAACAACAAAAAAAATTAATGACTTTTTTTTTCTTTAAAGATTTATTTGTGCATACAGAACTGAGCTACATACAGGCCAGAGACTCAGGGGCGGCGAGAGGCTTCACCAGAGACAGAGTGGGGAGCAGAACAGGCAGATGGACAAAGTACACTGCTGAGGGGAGCAGCGGGCAGGTCAGGAGAGGTCTGCCGCGCCATGTGGTCACCTCCGGGGCAGGTGGGAATCAAACTCATGCAGAAGTGGCTTTAGCTTAGTGCTGTGCTTTAACCCGCTGCACCACCAGGGAGGGCCTTAAGCGACTTTTTTTTTTTTAATTGAAAAGGAACATTGAAGCATCAGCCAAAGGGGAAAAATGAAATGAATTAATGACCTGAATATGATAGGAGTATCATAAATTAATCACTGGACAAAGTGTGATCAAACTTAGTTTTAATAATGTTTCTAAAATGTACCTGTGACCTTGCCACTAAAGGCGTGCCCTGATAAGATTATCCCTGGGGAGAACAATATCAGCACAACAATATCTGCTTTTGCTCTTTGGCCTGGCCTGGAAGAAGCAACAGGCAAAAGAGATTATGAAAGAATCATTTTTTTGAGCCAGAAAAGCTTTTACAGAAGTCTTCAGATTCCATATGAGAATGAATTTCTCAGGGGCAGGAAACCATTCTCAGCCCATCTTCATTGAGCTGTGAATGACAAGTGGAGTTTCAGCTAAGCCTTGCAGGTTAAGAGCCAAGACTCAAGTCCATTTCACAGCCCAGCTTCATGTCTTAAAGCTGTTAAGAAGTAAATCAGAATAAGGTCTCTAATCAAATGCCGCCTGCTTAGAAAAGCCTTGCTGTCGCTCTTAGAGCTCTGAGTTATAGGTGCACCCACCTGGGGCAACAGAATTTTTGAGGGAGTGAGTGAGGGTCTCCACAACACCCTTCTGTGGTCTCCCAGGTTCTCTTTGGGGGCCTGCAGTGCACTAGGCACCTATCATAGAAATCTACTTTAAATAGCCAACTTGTTAAACAGCGAGGAAAAAAAATAAAAATATACTTCAGTCTGTATGTTCTTTGAGTTGAGTGATTCTTTTCCAGGTCCTCATAGAGACCACCAAGAAGCTGGGTCTCCGGTGCCATCCACGAGGGACAATGGTCACAGTTGAGGGACCTCGTTTTAGCTCCCGGTCAGAAAGCTTCATGTTCCGCACCTGGGGCGCTGATGTTATCAACATGACTACGGTGCCAGAAGTGGTTCTTGCCAAGGAGGCGGGAATTTGCTATGCAAGTATTGCCATGGCAACAGATTACGATTGCTGGAAGGAGCACGAGGAAGCGGTAGGTAGTGTTCTTTCCTAGGCATGCGGGGCCTGGGTTTGCAGATGCCATGAGAACCATTAAGAGGGTGTCTTAACTATTGGTTTCTGTGGTACTAGTTCCAGAAAGTACCTTTTTACCAGGTCAAAAGTCAGTTCTCTTGTACACAGTGATTTGGTATTTAAACACATCGTTTCTAGAATTCCCTCTAGAAAGTAAGGACAGCGATCTTCATAGGAAAGATAAAAATTATTTCATCCAAGGGTCAACATAAACAGTCCATGTTAGGAGTCACACTGAGACTTGGCCTTATTTAAGACAAACATTTTTCATTATAATTTTTCTTGTGCTCTGCTATTTGCTATGATCCTTTATTATTTCATTCCCCCAAAAGGAAAAACCTATTTCTTTCTCTTTTTGATAAAAAGACTATTTATGGCTATCTGTTTATTCTACGAGGCTGTGTACTGAGCTTAATAAAGGAATATGACAGACAAGACATAAGGAGTCCATTTTAGGTGGGGGGAGGCAAAGGTTAGTAAGCAGATCAATGTGAGGAAAGCCCAAGGCTATAAGCAGTGATGTGAGATGTAGACGTACATATCTGATTAACACAACCTAATATTTGAAGTCTAGAAAGCCTCCTTGGGAAGGAAGCCTCTTTCCCTCCATGGGAAAGATGGGCCTAGTGGAGTAGAGGGGAAAGTGGACAGGAGGGAGGCTGTGCTTTGTTGATGGTGAAGGTTTTCAGAATGAGAGGCATTTGACAGGAAAGATAGAAGGCCCTGCTGGTGTTTGAAGACATATGACTACTGAGGTCAGACTTCAAAAATAAATATTTTTATTATGGAAAACTTCAAGCATCAGAGCTATCTATTGTCATAACCCCTCTCTCAGTTCCATGTTCCCTTCACCTAGCTTTTCTGTTCTCATCACGGTCAGTCTTATATCACTTATATCACCAGCTTCTTGCTCCCTGACCCTCATTGTTTTTATGTAAATATTTTTCTAAAATCTCATTTAAAAATTAATAATTAAAAAAAAACTACAGTACCATTATTTAATCAACTAGCTAGACTTTGCATCTTCCCTCTTGCATAATTTTGAACTATTTAAATCAGAGTCTGTTGAAATCCACTTGGCGTTTGAATACTGGGCTCCTTAGTGTCTTTTAATCTATTCTCCCTCTCTTTTCATTATTTTCACTGAAAAAAATCATTTGTCATTCATCTCATTGTAAAATAAAGAAAAGGGCAAAGACAGCCAAGGAATTTTGAAGGTACAAATATAGAGGCAGATGTTCTGAGCACATTTAAGAAGTAACAACTCTAAGGAGACTGGCCACTTTCTCACAGAGCTGCTTGTTTCACTGTCCCGTTTCATGGAAAGCAGAAGATAGGTTTATCTGTCTGTGCATGTATTTTGAGTGTCACAGATGAACATAGGTTCTTTGTTTTATGACTATGATAAACTGATGACAAGTAGGAGACCTTATGCAAAAGACTTGCAAGTCCTGACACAATAACTGACTAAGCAGTTCCCCTTTTTTAAATTTAACCAAAAAAAAAAAGAAAAAAAAAAACAGGCCCTCAGGAGAACTCTTTGGAAATGGTTCCAACCAATAACAGCTCCAGCCCTGCCATTCCCAGCAATCAGTTGCTTCCCGCCAGCACCTTTTTTGCCCTGTCTGGGAACACGTCTCCTCTCCTCTACAGCGTCATGGTCCTTTCCTTTATTGGGCCACATCAGGTTGCAAACAGTACTTGGGACTACAGTTAAAAGTACAGTAAACTGTAAGCAGGAAGCCACAAGTAAAGACAAAGATGGCATCATCCCAACCAGCCATCATATCATTTTGCTTTCATCCTGACATGCACCCTGACATGGTGAAGTACTTGTTGTTATTTTTAAAAGATTTATTTATTTATGCATACAGAACTGGGGTATAGGCCAAAGGAGCAGGGGCAATGAGAGGATTCACCTGAGACAGAGTGGGGAGCAGAACAGGCAGACTGATGAAGTACACTGGTGAAGGGAGCAGCGGGCAGGTCAGGAGAGGTCTGTGGCGCCAGGTGGGCCATCTCGGAGGGAGGGAGGGAGGGAGGGATCAAACTCGTGTTAAAGTGGCTTTAGCTTCTTAGTGCTATGCTTAAACCCATTGCGCCACCGCCACCGGGGAGGGCCTGTTTTTTTTTTGTTTTGTTTTTTTTTTTTAATTTAAAAAAGGGAACTAATTTAATTTAAAGAAAAAAAAAACCTAACAAAGGATTTGAAAAAAAACAGCTGGAGCAATTAACTACTGAAAAAGTGTTCTACGTCTTGTTGGCCATGTTTATTGGAAGGGTTGGAGAAAAATAAAAATGCCATTTAGCTTAAAAATTTATGAGTTATCTGCTAATCAACTCATTTCAAGAGTGGAAGACTCCTTGGTCTTTTCTTAGTATCAAAATTGACACAGATTTCTCTTAAATATTTTCTACATTTAAAGAGCATTCGCACAAAGTCTCCTATTTTTTCCATATGAGATAAATCCTTCGTTTCAGCCAACTCTCAATGCAACAACACCATCTCCCCACACAAAGAGCATTGCAATATTCTGGTTTGTTTTATGGATTTTTCATAGGTTTCCTCATCAATTTCTATCATGGTCACATATCTCCCAATATCATCTTTAAATGTTGATCATAAGCATGTAACTTGCATTGAAGCTCTCTGTCATGTCTCATTTTTACATAAATTTGCTCATCCAAGTTGAGCCTAATGAAATCCAGGGTTCATAGTTTGTTGCCGGTCCATGTTGTCCCCATGCTTCAAACTCTGCCGGTGAAGTAGTTTGAGAGTTGCCTAAATCCACCTTAATGTATCTGTTGCTCCACTTATTTACATGACACTAGTCATGTTGTTTAATCCATTTACCCTTTTTTTAGAATGGAACCAGAGCTTGGGGTGAAGGATGTGAGTTGTTTGGTTACCATTCTGATTTGTAGGACTGCTGGGGGAATTCACCCAAATGGTATATGAAGAACAATGAGTGCTATTTCTGGGAGGGGTAGTCATTATTTGATAACTGGTGAAGATGGGGAGACCAAATTAAAAGCTTATGAGAAAAGAAACTTGAGATTTGAGATTTGACGGATTTGATTATGAAGAGGTTTAATAGAAAGGGCATTTGGGTGGAAATAATGGTAGGAACCTAGAAGAGAAAAGAGGGTCCATACAGAAATACCAATCACAAGAAAAATGTAAGGACAGGAGTTGATAAGGGTCTCTTAGATGCTTCCTGATCCCATATCGCTGGTAGGCACTCAGCTGGTCATTTTTAATAACTTTCCAGTTTTTTTATGAAGCAATTTCAGTCACACACGAAAGTATACAATAGGATATGTGTCTGTGAATCTGGCATTATATCTAATGACAGCCAATAACATTTCATCTCTATTTGCGTCTACAGTTTTGTGCATAAGCATGTCAGGGGAGGTTAAACATAAGCACATTTTATTAATACACTCCAGCAATAATTCCTTGACATCTCCAGACAAAGTTCAAGTTTCTAGTTAAAAATCAGTAAAAATTTTTCCTTCTAACATTCTAAAAAGAAAATACACAGCCATTGTCCTATGGAGTCTCTCATAATATGAATTGCTGAAGCCATTTCCTTATGGTTGTTTGACAGGTCTCTCTGTCTCCTGAATTTTCTGTAAATTAGTAGTTGGATCCAAAGACATGTTCAGATTCAGGTGTCCTAACAGTGTCTTGGTTCTCCATCATGGAGCACATTATTGTTATTTTGGCTTTAGGGATTTTTGTTTTATGGTGTTAGCAGCCTATCAATTTATTAGGAACTATAAAAATGGTGATACTTTGGTTTCGTCATTTTTTTATCTGCTGGAAGACTTCTCAGTAATGAAATATACTTGTCTTCCAATGAAATATACTTGTCTTCCAATTGCTATCCAGAGTAGCTACAATTTTGAGAACTGGTACCTATTCTTTGGAACATGGGATGAACAGTTCATCCCTTTAGAACACACCATCTCAGAGTTTCCAGATACCATATTGAAAATCAGTGGTGCTTTTCCAAGATGTCATTGAGACACCTCTCCCTTGGGACCACTACCATCATGGGCTCAGAGGGTTCAAACTGATTTTACAGATGAGGTAGGAACTCAGGAAAATGTTCCACTAAAAGCAATTGAATTTTTAATTGCTAACATCCTGCGCTGTTATTTCTCTAGGTTTCAGTGGACCGGGTCTTAAAGACCCTGAAGGAAAATGCCAACAAAGCCAAAAGTTTGCTCCTCACAACCATACCTCAGATAGGTTCCATGGAGTGGTCAGAGACACTCCATAACCTAAAAGTAAGTATCTGCCATCTGCAACCTGACACCTCCACAAACCCTTAGCTACTTTTTTCCTTATTTACCTTTCACCCTGAGTCCACCTCATTTTTTTTTTTTAGTCTACATACTTTCTACAAGTTTTTGTTCCTTTTCTACCATACTAGCCATTGGTGAGATTGGATGCAAGATCATTTGAAGTTAAGATGGAGGGAGAGTTTAGTAGCCTCATCTACCAGAGTCTTAATATTGCCATGCTCAGCAATGTGCCTAAGTCATAAGATTATTAGTGCTTGCTCTGTGTGGCTTATATTGTTGACCACACTGTTTTCTCTTTGGTAGGTCTGTGCTAAGTGTTAGCAGCTTTAAACACCAAACGCTGACATTCAATGTCTATTTAATTCTGCAACAGATTACTATAGTCATTAATGACAAACAGTAGATGAATTACATTTTGGTAATTTTTCTACTCTAGTCCTATTACTCAGAATATAACTTAGGCTGACATACGGATTTTTGTTCGCACACTTTGTGATTCTCAGTTAACCACCTTACATAAGGAATGGCCCCACAGTGACTAGATCCTATATTTACCTAGTATCCAAAAAGAGAAGCCTAGACTACACCTATATTCTTAATACAGGTAGCTACAAAAGGGGGTAGAGATGGAGATGGAACCCTAGAGCGCGAGCCACTGTATATTTGTTTGTGTTTTTTGCCAATTTATGTAGCATGAATGTTTTTATCATGGGCAATTACAAACTACCGACATGAAGTCACAGTTAAGTCTGTTGTAAGCTAGTATATCACATAGTATACACTCTTGCTAAGGTTTCTCTTGGCCTTAACGACTGGCCATCAGAAAGACTGAAATCAGCTTCCTTCAGTCGACATGGTGCCGAAAATGGGTCTGTGGGCTTCAACCTGTATATTTTGGAAACAAATGCTCTTCCCAAATGTAGGTAAATGGTAGCTTCTAACCTCTTTCGAGTATTTTATCATCTTTGAAAACAGGAAATTCTTTTTATGATGATGAAAAAAAGGGCAACAGAAAGTAAATTCTAAGAATTGTCAAATGTCAGTTTAAACTGACAGTTTCAGTGACTGAGTATAATGCACTCAAGAGCATGACATTGATTTGTGGAAAATGTGACTCATCCTTTGCTGTAGCTGAGGATGCCAGATGGGATGGATTTTTTGGTTTTATTTTACACTGCTTAATTTGACTTTATCTTGACCACAGTTTTTTGAACTTCAAGATTTCTCAGGCAATGAATTTGTAATTTCAGTTTTATATTTAAATAAAGTTTGGATGTTAGCAATCTGCTTTCTCGTTCTCTAGATCTTCTGGAAAGGTGTCGATAGTGTGACTTTTGTGTGTATGTTTATAAAGAGGGTTATTAGCATATATCACTTTCCTCTGGGACATAGAACCTAAAGAAACAGTCCAGTTTGTATTAAGCTGTGGTTTGAAAGAAACATAAGACTTGCTGTGATGAAGACTGTCTTCTGTGTGAAGATATTAAAATTGTCATGATTTCTTTCAGTGGGGGTAAAAAAAGATGGATGTTACAGAAACAATAATCTAGGGGGAAAGGGAGATATATATGTGTCCTGTGGATTACTTCCAAGAGGGTGTGGAGATAGTGAGATTCAGAACAGTCTGCCAAGATAAATATTATGAATCTTTACAGAAAGAAGTGTGAGGAACTCAAAATTAGAACTGAGCGAAAAGCCTAACCTGGTTAATGATCATTCAATTTTTATAGACACAAGAATTTTCTGAAGAGTTTATGAAAAGCTTATGTCCCATGAGTCCTCACTCTATAAAATCAAAAATCTGTTTTTTAACAAGCACATCAGATGACTATATTACTTACCCAGATTTGAGAATCACATTACTGTCACTGCTTAGTAATGAACATTACTGTGATTGCTTAATAATGAACTACATTCTATCTTACAGAATATGGCCCAGTTTTCTGTTTTATTACCAAGACATTAAAAAAGCCAGGTTGACAGAAGGTGAGAAGACTTTAATTCTGGTCATTTGAGGAATCTACTTACCTTGAAAACACATGAAAAATACCTGCAGCTTTCCTGTCCTGGCCAGTAAAGAACATGTGATAAAATGGTATACATTACAGCAATGGCTTTGAAGACACTTGGATTGGAAAAGAAGGGGAAGCCAGTGACTGTGAAACATGGACAGTACATTTGATGGCTTAGAAACAATACATTTGATGACCATATACCATTCACTCTTCCTTCATGAATTTGTAACAATAAAGGCTGCAAAGTAATATTTAATTTTTGTATTGCCAAGGCCTTTGAATAGGAAATGGGACTCGAAGGCCATTCATTGATGTGACTGTTACAATAGTGCAAACATTTTGAAGGGTAGTTTGGGAACATGTAGTGCAAGACTTAAAAATTCTTGGCTCCTTTGTGCTGTTTACTCCTAGAATTTATCTTGGAAAATTATCAGCATTAACACACAGAGAATTATGTGAAGAAAAATGTTTAGCATAGTATTAGTTGCAATAGTAAATAATCAAAATAATCTGAATATTCTAAAAATGGGAGATAAATTATGGTTTAGCTCTAACTTTAAAGCTGAAGATCATGTTTTCATAGCATAATGCATTGGTTGTGTTCTGATATGAAATAAAGGACATGCAGGTATTTAAAGTACTAAATTCACTTTAAAATGCTACATATGTACACGAAAAGACTAGAGAGAATCTTGTTATATTTGGATGACAGAAACGAAATTATTTTACTTTTCTGCCTTTGTTTTCTACAGTCAATATAATAAAGTAGTAAAATTGTTTTAAAAATAAAAATGGACTTAGATCTTGTTCTTGAACACACTGTTAGTAATGAAACAAGATGTAAGATGGTGTGTTATGGAGTTCTGTTGGATTCCATCTTAATTTTGTTAAGGAGGCCTGTTCATGACTTGGGTAGTCAGAACAATACATGAGTTTTACAACTCAAGAATGTTTAAGCTCAAGATAGTTGTTTAAGCACAAGGTAGTCGTGAAGTTGAACTGTTTGAGACTACACACATTTTAGTGTGTCCGACAATTTTAAAGTTCCTTTTTGAGTCGTTCTCCTTTTTATGAGTTGATACTTCATGTGAGTTAATGATTTTTGCTTTTTTTTTTTAAAAAAAAAGATTTATTTATTTGTGCATACAGAACTGGGGTACAGGCCAGAGGCTCCGGGGTGGTGAGAGGCTTCACCAGAGACAGAGTGGGGAGCAGAACAGGCAGATCGACGAAGCACACTGCTGAGGGGAGCAGCGGGCGGGTCAGGAGAGGTCTGCCACGCCATGTGGTCACCTCCAGGGCAGGCGGGAATCGAACTCATGCGGAAGCGGCTTTAGATTCTCAGTACTGTGCTTTAACCCGCTGCGCCACCAGGGAGGGCCGATTTTTGCTTTTTAATAAAGAAAATGGAAGCCTGTTTCTTACTGCTTTTTTATTTCTCTAGGAATGTATTTTGTTCTCTATCACAGGGATGCTCTGTACCTGGAAATTACTACTTTTCACTGTGGGTCAATAATAAGTCCTTCTGTCATGCACCTAAGCCTCTTTAAGTGTCTGTAAAGGCAATGAGTTTTTGCCTATGAATTTGCCTTCAGATAGTAAGTGGTGACTTGTAAATGGTAAAATAAACCAGTTACCCTCCAGCATTACCCTGAGTCATTTGGGTTTACATGTGCTAATGTCTCTTGGTTTCTCTAGTACAGTGGTGTCCACTCTGGAGGTGACTGGTCTGTCAGAAGGCACATAATGTCTTTATCTCCATATCAACAGTCATCAACTGCTCTATATTCATCAATGAGTTGAAATAAAAGTATATTCTAATTGGCTACCTTGCATTTAAACATACGCAAACTAGTACCAGCCTCCATGTTTTAATTAAGTTTTAGACCATCTTAATAGATGATATACAGAGAGCACAGGCATTCATAAAATGTAATATGTTATACAAGCTTAGTAAGCATGGACTTTTAGTGTGTGAAGGGATAAGATAAAATGCAAATGTTATCACTGATTAGGAAGAAATGGTCAGGTAGGAAACTGAGGCTGTATCAAAATGGATTTTTTTAAGATTTATTTATGCATATAAGAACTGAGGTACAGGCCAGAGGTGGGGCAGGTGAGAGGATTCATCAGTGACAGTGGGGAGCAGAACAGGCAGACTGACTGAAATAACACTGCTGAGGGGAGCAGCAGGCAGGTCAAGTGAGGTCTGCCACACTTTGGATCACCTCCCTGGCTGGGTATCGAACTCATGCTGCAGTGGCTACAGTTGCTTCATAGTGCTGTGACTTAACCCTTTGTGCCACAAGGAGGCTGCTGCACTAAAATTTTTTAAGAGCAGTGAGGGTTTGGTATTTTAACTAAGATCTCTTCTTTCTCTCACCTCAACAAGATGGACATTGGGGCTGGTAGTCTGGAACACAGGGCTGTCCCAGTTTCCACTTGGAGGGCTCTAATTACTCAGGGGCATGAACTGGTATTTTCTGTCCTACCTCTGTTAACCTGTTATTGAGGCTAAAGTAATGGACAAGTTTAAGCAAGGAGGGAATTTTCAAGGAAGCTATTGAATCCTCTTTGTCCCAGCCTGATAGACAGCCCATGCTGGGAGAGTCCAGCAAAACTTGGCAAAGATACTGACGCCTCATCTCCACTGAGCACTCTGCTCTCTAACTGAAAAGTCATGGAGAAGCATGTCATTGCCTCTACTTCCATCTCACAGTTGAGACTTGAATATTCATTTTGCCCAAGGGAGAACAAACTATAAACCAGAGTGTTCCTATTCTGTTTCTGAAGGAATGGATTTTAACAGTGTAGCAAAGGTAAAGCCTAGAGTGTTCTCAACAGCAGAAGTTGTCATGAAGGGCAGTTGAGATGATATTGGTGAAATCATTGGACATATAAGTAAAATTGTAGATTAGCAACTTCGCATGAAAGCATATAACTTGGGGAGATAGGTCAATGGAAATCCCAACAAATGGTAAATAATATATTACCGATAACAAAAAGGTGATACATGGGAGCAAAGTTGTAAAATAAGTCCAAAAATGGAATCATTCCAGATGGTAATTTGGAAGAATAATTGAAGAGAATCAGAAATGGTAAATAAGATTAATATAACAAAACCTATAAATATATGCTTGTCTAAAGTAAAATTATGTGAAGGTAATAGTTCTAACCAAGAACTTTTAGGTTTGTGACTTTTAGAGGTATAACAAAACAGAAGAAAGGAAGTACAACTATGTAATATTACTAAATATCACAGGAATTAAGTTACTAGAAACCTGAAATTGATTCAGATGAGGCATGTGTGGTAAGCCCTATGTAAAGCAACTAGTGGTCTAGTTTCATTCGTTTGTGGCTGTTGTTTTCTTCACACCTTTTGTTGAAGAGATGTTCTTGTATTGCATATTTGTCTCCATAAATTAACTGTATATCCATGTGAATTTATTTCTGGGTTCTCAATTCTATTCCATTCCTGTGTTTCTATTTTTATTCCAATATTGTTGATGTAAAAACAAAAGTTCTTTAACAAATGGTATTAAGTAACTGCAGGGGGCCCTCCTTGGTGGCCTAGGGATTAAATCTGGTTCTACCACAGAGAAGGCCCATGGCACTGGCCTGAGTTGGATCCCCAGCCAGGGAGCTAACCCACATATGCTAGAGCAAACCAGTCTTGCCCACTGCTCTCCCTAGCACTGGTCCCCACTCTGTCTCTCATGAATCCTCTCACCCCTGCTCCTCCCGCCTACACCCCAGTTCTTGTATACAAAACTAAGAATTTTTTTTAAATGCGTAATATCACTTCAGAGAAATGCAAATCAAAACCACAATGAGATACCACCTCACACCTGTGAAACAGCCAGTAACAACCAGTGTTGGAGAGGGTGCCGGGAAAGGGAGCCTTGTACACTGTTGCTGGGAATACAGATTGGCCCACCCCCTATGCAGAGTATGGAAGTTTATCAATTGCTGTTAAAAAGTAGATCCATTTTGTACCCCTCCCCCCCTCTCACCCCCCCTCCGCCCCACGGTGGCACAACAGGTAAGGACGCAGCACTGCAAGCTAGCTGCAGCTGCTTCAGTGTGAGTTCAATCCACTGCCCCTGAGGTGACCACATGGCACGGCAGGCCTCTCCTGACCTGCCCACTGCTCCCCTCAGCAGTGTACTTCTGGACATCTGCCTATTCTACTCCCCAGTCTGTCTCTGGTGAATCCTCTCACTGCCTCTGCACCTCTGGCTTGTACCCCCGAGGTGCATCATAAATCATAAATCTTGTATGCATAAATAAACAAATCTTTTAAAAAAAGATCTATTTTATGACTCATTACTCCTGCACCTAGCTATTTACCCTGTGGCCATAAAAAATCCTTACTTGCAGGCTTAGATGCACTCCTATATTTGTCACAGCACCATTTACAATAGCCAAGCTATGGAAACAATTGCCCAAGGATTGATGAGTGAATTAAAAAGATAATATATAAATTTGCAATGAATTTAACCCTGGAGGTGCAACGGGTTAAAG